TTAATTCATTCATCATTTTATAATCCTCCTCTATTTTACCCTCTAGGAAAGCACTGATTTCCTTACTCATATCTGCTGCTAAAACGACAATAGCACATAAATGGAAGGACGCAGGACCCCCACAGATTGATCAATGGTATGCAAAGGTGTGGGAGTCATCACACAATTAGACCCTTATTCAGCAAATGTTGGCCTGTTTTAGAATGATTGGACTGTACTACCTATGGTAAGAGTTCTTTTAACTTGCACAACAGTTACGAATTTATGAGGTTATAGTATGATCAAAATGTTCTAATTTTTTATTCTGGAAAACACTTGTTTTATTGTACCAGATGTGAAACTTGGAACCATTGTTGTTATTTATTATTATTTGTTGTTGTTATTGCTCTTGAAAAATAATAACATTGTAAACAAACACACACACAGGGCCATATGATCCCTGTATCCAGCCCCCAACAATAAGCTGGCTGCTGCATTTTGGACCAATTGAAGCTTCTAAATAATTTTCAAAGGTAACAACATGTAGAGTACATTCTCTCACAGATATTAAACATGAACAAGACAAGGGCTACCAGCCTGCTGTGCTTTGTTGTGCCCTTGCCAAAAGGTAGAGGTTTTCATTTGCATTGCAAGGTGAATGAAAGTGCACTTTAGCAGTACTAAAAGAGATGCACTGAATGTTTTCCACTTGGATTGTGTGCTATGGTTCTAAGCAGTGCATCTCATCTCCCAGTGCCAGCAAAAGAATCATGCACTTTGCTGCTGAAAAACAAAGCTAGGACACTGAAGCAAAAGTGTCTGGCTATTGCTTCCAACCAACATGCTTCTTCCATTGGCTCATGCAAACTGCCCTCCACACTGCTTCCCTGTTACCACCATACTCTAAGTGCATTAATTCTCTGAATGTTCTTCTTTGGGGGACTGACAAACAGCATCCTCAGCCCTGGTGGAAGATTGATAACTCAGCTTCTCTTATTATTGGGCCATTAAACCATGTTGCCATTTCCTGGTATTTATTCTTCTTAAGCGCCAGGGTACGCAACTTGTCATTTCAAACGTATTGTCAAAGTGCTGCTGGATGTAGTGTATTATGCAGGGTATCAGTTTCGAAATAGACTTCAACCTGTCAGTATAATCTTTCTTAGGAAACTCAAATAAAATTGCACCAACCTTGAATCAAGGTGGCTTAAGGAACTTAGGTGCATGCCCAGTTCTTGTTTACTGAGCTTTTTTCATACGAAAAATGTGGGATCTGCTCTTCATAGATGTGCATAACCCACTCTATTGTCAGTGGAGTAAAATTAGCATAGAGAGAAAGTTTTCCTCCAGGACCTCACGACTGCATTTCCCCACATTCTTGGTGCCAGCGTGGACCACGACCACTGGCTCCTCCCCAGCACTATCTACCAGCCTATGTAGAACACGCGTAATGTCCGCTACCTTCGCACCAGGCAGGCAAGTCACCAAAGGGTCAATAAGTGGGTTCGCACCAGGCAGGCAAGTCACCATAGGGTTAGTAAGTGGGTTTGCCACCCAGCTGTCTACCTGCCTAAGGATTGAATCACCAACTACCAAGAGCCCCTCTCCCACCCTGCCCAGGGATAGTTCCTTGGTGTGAAAGGATACCGATTCACCAGCTGAAGAAGAGGTCCCTTCTGAGGGCACATTCCCCTTATCCTCAGCACGGTGCCCTGTTTCCCCTAGACCCTCATGCTCCCTGACAGCTGCCATATTCAGAGTGGGACATATCTAGCAAGTCCCCGAGAGTCTTCTCTGTGCGGCTAACTGATTGTCTCTGCTTCTCCAGGTCTGCCACCTTGGCCTCAAGGGAGCAAACTCGTTCCCTGAGAACCAGGAGCTCCTTGCACCGGGCACACACCCAAGACTTCTGTCCAGTCGTACATGTGACACTCTGTGAAAAACACCACAAAACACCAACCCCCTGCTGGCATTCTGGCTTCATGATTGCTTTTAAAATAATAATTATATATATAACCCCCCTTTTAAAACCCTTTGGTATTTATGTGGTTCTCCTTGTAGAAATCTACTTACCTTACTGGGAGCCCAAGGAGACGGGGGCCCTGGCTCTCTGGCTCTTCCTGGGCTTCTCACAGAGCCCCTGGGCTAACCCTTCGGCGAGTGCCAGAGGCTCGTGCCCCTGGCGCGGTGCTGCCTTAAACAGAGGGCTCCCCCCAGCAGAGGGTGTGGCCAGCAGCTATTAAAATTCACCCAGGCAGTCCAATTGCAGTCAAACAGTGACCCTTTCACACCCTATCTCAAGATTTCTCCTTTTCTGAAGGGTCTGAATCTGGTTATACTGGAATAACTTCCACTTCAGTTTTCAGAGGGTCATTAGAAACAGTCATCAGTATCAAGTACCAAGACAGTATCAAGTTTGAAACATTGCAATAATATCCTGATATGCTTTATAGCTGCTTCATAGCTGATCTTTCAAGCTTTGTCTATTTGTATTTATTTACTTCGTTTATATCCCTCCTTCCTTCCTCCATTAGAGGGATTCAAAATGACTGACGACATTCTCCGCTCCTCCATTTTGTACTGACAACAACCCTGTGAGGTAGGTTAGGCTGAGAGTGTGTGACCAGCCCAGTTTCCATTCCCATAGCTTTTGTATCTTTTCACATCTTGTCGATTAAAAAGGAAACAGTTTTTCTTGGGGTTTAGTTTTAATTTTACGTTATTAATTAACTTTAGGGGGGGGAATCTAGAGGTCTCTTCTACTATATCAGTACCCTCTTGGAGTTCTATATTCTCGCCGAGATAATAGTGCTATATCACCATTTACACTGGGGGAGTGCCTGGCCAAGTATAACCCCTCACCCAGTTTTCACAGGAAGACATTGCATTTTGGGGCACTTCGGCCAAAGAAGTCGCCTCCTGCTGCATCAGAACTTCAGGACGTTGTGACTAGTAGCTGGGGGGTCCTGTTAGGGTTTGCCAGCCCCCAATCTGGGCAAGGTTCCCCCCGCTTTTGCAGACTCCTCCCCACTGCTGGCCAGCTGACCGGCAGGGGAAACCCCGCCCACAAATGCCCCGAAATATGGCGTGATGACGTCAACCAGAAGTGAAGTCATCGCAAGACCAATGCCACGCAGTGACGCTCTAGTTTATAGGCACACCTCTATGGTAAAATTGAGCTCAAACCATAGTGTTTTGCCCAAAAATTAGAGTGTCGCCGTGCGACATTGGAGGTTCAATGAAATCTCTTCTGGGTGATCTCATCACACTGTGGCCTGCAAAAGTTAAAAACTCCCTTTACACTTCTTTGTTATCAAAAAGAAAAGAAACCCAAGAGATAAGGTGATAGTTTAAAATAATGATTGACATTCAATTGATTTGTTGTTGTTGTTTTCAGTTGCACAGTCGAGTCCGACTCTTCGTGACCTCATGGACGAGATCCCGCCAGGCCCTCCTGTCTTCCGCTGTCCTCTGAAGTTTGCTCAATTTCATGTTTGTTGCATCTATGACACTGTCTAACCATCTCATCCTTTGCCGTCCCCGTCTTCTTTGACCTTCAGTCTTTCCCAGCATCAGGGTCTTCTCCAGTGAGTGCTCCCTTCTCATTTGGTGGCCAAAGTATTTGAGCTTCAGTTTCATTATCTGGTCTTCCAGGGAACAGTCAGGGTTGATTTCTTTTAGGATTGACTGATTTGATCTTCTTGCAGTCCAAGGGACTCTCAAGAGTCTTCTCCAGCACCATAGTTGAAAAGAATCTATTCTTCGGCGCTCGGCCTTCCTTATAGTCCAACTCTCGCAGCCATACATGACTACTGGGAATACCATTGCTTTGACCATGCAGACTTTTGTTGGCAGGGTGATGTCTCTACTTTTTATCATGCTGATTAGGTTCGCCATCGCTTTCCTCCCAAGTAGCAGTCGTCTTTTAATGTCATGGCCGCTGTCACAGTCTGCGATGATCTGGGATCCCAGGAACGTGAAGTCTGTCACTACTTCCACAACTTCCCCTTCTATTTGCCAAGGAGTGATGGGGCCGGATGCCATGATCTTAGTTTTTTTGATGTTGAGCTTCAAGCCCACTTTTGCGCTCTCCTCTTTTACCCTGAGCAAGAGGCTCTTGAGGTCCTCTTCACTTTCTGCCATCAGAGTGGTATCGTCTGCATATCTGAGGTTGTTGATCTTTTCCCCAGCAATCTTAATTCCCGCTTGTGATTCATCCAGGCCAGCATTTCGCATGATGTACTCTGCATATATATTAAATAAGCAAGGTGACAGTATACATCCTTGTCGTACTCCTTTTCCTATGCTGAACCAATCAGTTGTTCCATATCCGGTTCTAACTGTCGCTTCTTGGCCCTTATACAGGTTTCTCAAGAGACATGTGAGGTGGTCTGGTACTCCCATCTCTTTAAGGACCTGCCATAGTTTGTTGTGATCCACACAGTCAAAGGCTTTAGCATAGTCAATGAAGCAGAAGTAGATGTTTTTCTGGTACTCTCTTGCTTTCTCCATAATCCAGCGAATGTTGGCAATTTGATCTCTAGTTCCTCTACCTCTTCGAAACCCAGCTTGTACTTCTGGCAGTTCTCTATCCACGTACTGTTGAAGCCTAGCTTGTAGGATCTTGAGCATGACCTTGCTAGCATGTGATATGAGGGCAATTGTGCGATAGTTTGAACATTCCTTGGCATTGCCCTTCTTTGGGATTGGAATGTATACTGACCTTTTCCAATCCTGTGGCCATTGTTGCGTTTTCCAAATTTGCTGGCAAATTGATTACAAAGGCATTTAATATATACCCAATATTTAGAATATTCATGATTTGGAAGGTTTTGATTTGAACTCTGCCCCACAGAGAAACCACATTACACAGAGAGGGATATTACCCACACTACATCCGTATGACTCATTTTGTCTCTGGGAATTTCCTCTGACACAATCCAGATGGTACTTCAGGGCAGGCAAAAGGCAGAAGAGTATAAAAGTGGGTTTGCAGAGCTTCAGTCAAGCACAAACTTGCTAAGAAGCCTCCTGCTTTTCCGAAGCAGCCAGCGAAGAACATGCCTCGCCTCCCAGGGAGCAGCGCCAAGGCGGCAGCTGCAGCCGCAGCCCCCCTTCTCCTCGCTCTTCTCCTCTCCGCCTTGACTGAGTCAGAAGGTAAGCCGTGGGGATGCAACACGTCTGCTGAATCTGGTTCTACATTCACAGAGAAGAATTCTAAAATTGGAACCATAAACGTAATTCAGATGTTAGAGTTGTGGGAAATAATTGCTTGCTAGATAGGACAATTTTCAAGCTGTTTAGGAGCCGGCACCTTGTAGAGAGCATTATGAAATTCTTCCTTTTCCCATAGAAAATGCTCTGTTCTTCATACCTTCATGTGTCTCCTCCTTCATTTTGGACTCTTCTATGCATTTCTTCCCCCCTGTTCTTTAGAGCTACGTGAAATAAATGCATGGGAAAGAAGGGGTCTGAGGGATTCTCTCAGCCTCAAGAGACAGACCTGTGGCTGCTGCTCCTGGCTTGCTATCTGGCCACTGGGGGAAAGGATCCAGCTTTTAGACTTGCTACTTTTTCTTGTTGTCTAAAATAACAGATCTGTTGATACACCAAACTAACTGGGTGCACTAATTAATAATGGAGTCTGCACAAACAAATGGACAACAGTCCTTTGCTAAGGAGAGCTTTGCCTAAGGGTTCCAATTAGTGAAATACAAGGAGGCTTTTCTCTTTCTCAGGGACCTAAAGAAAACCAGTTTTAAAGTGCTGAAAAACTTTTGCTAACCAAATGTTTCACAGGGTGTAATTTGTTGAAACCAATGGTTATTCATCTTTCTCTGCAGGTGTCTCACTGGCTTGGATGGGAGGTGAACTGCGGTGCCAGTGCATACACACTCACTCCAAATTCATCCCCCCAAAAAACATTCAGGATGTCAAGCTGACCCAAAGTGGGCCCCACTGCAAGAATGTGGAAGTCATGTGAGTGGGTTTATTTACTTAGAAAATGTGTATTGGTGCATCTCCATAGGCCTGTTTGAGGTGGGCTGCAAAGTGAAAACCATGGTTGTTGCTGCTGCTGCTGCTATGATTATTGCTATTGTTGTTATTAATAAGAATAAGAAGAATATGAGCCATAAAAATAACATTTAGTGCCCTCTATCCCAAACAGCTCTAATTAAGTCTGGTGACACCTTAGAGACCAAAAAGATTTTTGGGGTATAAGCTTTTGAGGTGTGTCTGACATAGAAAGCTCTGATTCTCAAAAGTTTATCCCCCCCCCCCCAATCTGGTGGCTGGTCTCTCAGGGGCTACGGAACGTGAATGTAACTGTTCCACCACACACAAACATGGCCGCCCTCTGAAATTCAATCTAGAAGTGGGACAAGAAAACCGATAACAGAAGGTGGAGCACGTGGACTAAAAGCCTGGTTAAAGAGACACTCTTTGTCCTGGTGCCTAAAGGGCAGTAGAGCAGGGGCCGGGCAAGCCCTCGGGGAGGGGGGGCCTTCCAAAGACAGAAGCCCTGGCGGTGGTTCATGCCTCCCTCCCCATCTCTGCAGGCAGAGGCAGAGGGCAGAGGGCTGGAGGAGTGGACCTCAGCTGCTCAGTTTGGAGCCCAGCAGCCCCTGAGGGACCAAGAAGGACTTTGGAGGGATGAGCTGTTGAGGGTCAGGGGTCTTTATTGGCCACCTGGGCTTGTGTATACCTTTGGTCACCCAACAGATTTAGGTCAAAAGCTCTCCTGCACAATCCCCTTTGCAATGAATGCATCAATGACCCCGCAGGTCCTATGCATTTCAGCACGGCTCGAGCCTTGATGGATTGTGCCTTTGTCATTTATGAATGAGTGACACGGAATCCATCCATCGGCCATGAATGGTTGACTATCGCTGGCACTGGGAGCGGAACTGTTTGCGTCTTACTTCTTGACTTCTTCATCAAGTAGATTCTACCAAATAGCTAAATGATGAGTCACATTCCACAGAGTTATAGATGCTTGACCACCCTGATTGGCTTTTCCTGCAGTGCTACTCTCAAAGATGGCAGAGAAGTGTGCTTGGAGCCCACCGCTCCCTGGGTGAAGATGATCATCAAGGCCATACTAGACAAGTGAGTTGTTTCTCTCGTCTGAGAATAAGACCTTAAGTATTCGGTTCAGTTGCAGTCTCTTGAGGGGGACTTGATGGTGGCTTTTGTTCTCCAAGTCGGCTTCTAATTTAGTGGCACCCAAAATCTGGCACCAAAGCCAACCCTCTCACCTTGCTTCACAGGCCTCCAGACACTGGCTGAGGGCAGGGAGGGGCAGAGCAGGCGTGCCTGTGGTGCGGGCAGAGTTTGGAAAGCAGCATCCCCACTCACAGCCTCCTCCTCCTCCTCCGCCGCCGCCACCTGTTCGCACCGTGGAGACCACCTGGCAACTGCGCACAGGTGGAGGGCAGGGCCAATGCGCTCGTGCCCACTTTCCCTCCCTGTGTGCTCACTTAGCGTAGAGAGGGGTCCTATGTAGAGCCCTATGGCTGTCTCTGCAGCAGTCAAGTTTTCCTGAGTTGCATCCTTGCAAAAATGCATTACATTTGCCACAGCCTCACGCAGGGCTCTTTTTGTAGCAGGGACTCCTTTGCATCGTAGGCGACACACCCCTAATGTAGCCAATCCTCCAAGAGTTTATAGAGCTCTTCTTACAGGGGCTCCTGTAAGCTCTTGGAGGATTGGCTACATAAGGGGCGTGGCGCCTAAGATGCAAAGGAGTCCCTGCTACAGAAAGAGCCCAAACACAGTGGACTCACGGTGACCCCTCCTCATGGGGTTTTTGAGGCAAGAGGGGTTCAGAGGAGGTTTGCCACGGCCTCTGCCTCTGCCTGGCCCTCCTGGCCCTCCTGGCCCTCCTCAGACTGGTCCCACCCCAGTCCCAACCAGGGCTCACTCTGCTCAGCTTCCAAGACCTGATGAGACTGGGCTCATCTCACCACCCAGGCCAGGGCCACTGCTATCACTACCAAAGCAAAAACAAAACCTGGTCCAAAAAGTAGTTCAGTGCTTGGGAAACAGGCCATACCTAAACAACTGGCAGACACCACCGTGTATATCTGCTTTCAGTCAGCTGTACAAAATTCTAGCTTATTTGGGTCTGAACAATTCTGAGCCATTCCGTGGGATGCTTCTAACATCTCTTTTTCTTTCCTGTATCCCAGGGCTCAAGGCAATGCCCCATAAGCCACTGCAAAGGAAGCTTCAGAAGGTCTCCCATTTTGCATCTCTGGAAAAGAAACTGAGCCATTTCAATCCAGCCTGATTTTCACAACAAACCTTTCTGCTGGGGGATCTGTTTCCCAGGTTTTTTACAACAGCACTTTTAGAAAACGGTATTTTTAAAGCTTTAACATCATACCAGAAGAGCCAAGAGGAAGCGGAAGACTGCTGGCGGGCCAGAAGTGTAGCTCAGTGCTCTGTTTACACCAGAGCTCTGATCAGAAACGCCCCTGGGATTCTGTTTGCCTGGGGGCTCGCGCACATGTGTGAGTCAGAAGGATCCTGGGACCTGGGAATCCCCTCTGCTGGTGTGACCTTGGGTCAGTCACAGTTCTCTCAGAGCTGTTCTCTCATGAGCAGTTCTTGAAAGAGCTCTCTCAGCCCCAACTTCCTCACAGGGTGTCTGCTGTGGGGAGGGGAAAGGAAAGGGATCGTAAGCCTCGTTGAGACTCCTTCGGGTAGTGAAGGGCGGGGTATAAATCCGATCTCTTCTTCTTCTTCTCATAGGAAAGAAAATGCAGCGTGTATCCCACATTTGTATGTGAGATGGGAAATGTTTTTTATTTATATATTTATTGTGAATGTATTATTCTAAATATCTTTGTATACAGGCTGCTGTTTAAGTTATTTTTATACTATTTATACTAAATTGGGGAAATATATTTTTAAATATTATAATAAACATTTATTTTTTAAAATAATAAGTGCCTCTAAGAGATCTACAAGAGGTTTGTTTGTTTTATGTTCAGGCAAGACTGGTTGCCAGCACAGCAGAGAACCCTTAGAACCCATGGCCAAGGGACCCTCCGACAGGGCTGCCCGCGCTGGACTGAGACACTTGTGGGGATCCGGAGGCGGAGTGTCTGGGGAAGGTGGCGTTCGGGGAGGAGGGGGACCAGAGGCGCCCAGGGGACCCCATGCCCGAAGCGGACCCACCCTCTCTGCGTCAGAGACTTCTTGTCTGCATGGGGGTCTGTTCTGGACACCCCTTTCTCCTATTGGCCCCCATGTCTGCACGAGGACGATCAATATTTTTCAGGGAAGGAAAGTAGATTTCTAATTAAATACAAACCATTCTTCAAACATACAGATCACAAAATTATGAATTTACTTCCAGCCATGGCAAAGATATTCACAGAGAGTACAGTCACTTTGTAAATTTTGTGTTACATAGTCCATAGTATTCCCTACCTGTCTAGGGAACCCCTATGTTTACTGGGAAGCCTGTATCCACCAAAAATACTGGTTAACAATAATTGTCATTTTATTTACATTTATTTAAAAATAAGAGTAAGGAAAAAATCAACTAGCAACCGGCAGTTCTGTTATAGAATGTTAGCAATATGAAGATTCAGCATTTTAAAAAATTCAGTAACTTGAGTGAAATTGTAGAAATGTTATGGAGGCATTTATAAATGTACAGGCAGCAGACATCCCATCTCCTCTCCCCGCTGGGCCCTTATTGTGTAGTGGGTTAGCCGCCTGAATGAAGGACGCAAACCGGCATGGTCCAATGCACACTTTATTAGTACACAACAAGAACAAACCACTAACAGCCAGCTGGCCAACTATATACATCCTTGGGGCCACACCCCTGGGTCCCGTTGGTGGGTTTGAATCTCCCGCCACGGTTCCCATTGGTTCCCCAGTGGAAGGACTAGGATCCTAGTCCTCATTGTTCTCCCAGAGGCAAGCTCTGGGGAGTTCGCTGGCCCCTGGTGGCGGTCAGCGGACACAACATCCCTCCCCCCATAGATCGGAACCATCCTAGGTCACGTAGTCCTTTAAATAAGACAGGGACCGCCGTTCTCTAGTGGACCGTCGGGGAGCTGGTACTGGGACTTCTGGGGCCCCGTCCACTGTGTCGGGATGTGCTGATAGTGGAGGGGCCTCTGGCTCTGCAGTGCCGGTTGCCGGGGTCTCTCCTGCGGCTGCTGGAGGAACTGGGGTGAGGTTCAGATGTTCCGGGGAAGAGTCTTGCACGGTGCCTTCCGGTACACCCCTCTCGAGGTCCGACCGTAGTTCCAGACTCTCCACGCCAGGGTGGTCAGGAAGGATGCACCGCCGGAGTTGATCTATGTGCCTCCGCAGTACCTGCCCACACTCGGTTGACACCTTGTACTTGACGGTGCCCATGGGACGAATGATGCGGCCTGCCAGCCACTCTGGGCCCCTGCCAAATTTCCGGGCAAAGACAGGGTCCTCAGGGAAGAACCCGCGAGGGGCTTCCCGCTGCTCTAGCACATTCCGTGGCTCTGGACGCCTGCCCATGAGAAGCTCCGCTGGGCAGTGCCCACTTACGGGATTTGGCGTAATTCGCTGCGCTAAGAAGAACTGGGCGATGCGCTGTTCCCAGTCTCCCTCCATCAGATGGCTTAGTGCTTCTTTCACCGTCCTGACCATTCATTCCGCTTGGCCGTTGGTCACGGGGTGGAATGGTGCTGACCTGATGTGCTTGATCAGGTTGCCTCTGAGGAACTGCTGGAACTCTTCCAACGTGAACGCCATCCCATTGTCTGAGACGATGGTGTCTGGCAGTCCGTGGGTGGTGAAGATCTGCCGGAGGGCACGGATGGTGGCCTTGGTGGACATTGCGGAGACGGGGCTTAGCTCCAACCACTTGGTGTAGGCATCCACCGTCACAAGGAATAGCAGTCCATGGAAGGTTCCGGCAAAGTCTATGTGGAGCCGGGACCACGGTGTGCGCGTGGATTCCCAGGACTGGGACGGTGCACCCGGCAGGCTGGGTCGCACGGCTTGGCAGGTAGGGCAACGTTTCACCCACGCTTCCACCTCTGCGTCGATGCCTGGCCACCAAACGTAGCTCTGGGCGAGGCCTTTCATCCGTACGATGCCTGGGTGTGCTTCGTGAAGGGCCTGTAAAACCTTTTGTCGCAGGCCGCTGGGGACCATGACCCTGTCTCCCCACAGCAGGCAGCCTTTGTGCACCGACAACTCATCCCTGCAAGCCATGAACGCAGTGAACTCTGACCCCTCCACCTTCGTAGGCCACCCCCTCACCACCCAGCCCAGCACCCGGGATAAGGTGGGGTCCCGGGCTGAGCGGCGGGCAATGTCAGTGGCCTGGAGTGGCGCGTCTGGGAGGTCCTCCATCTGAAGGACCCGATGCACCGGGGCAGGGTCTTCCATGACATCCGGCAGGGGAAGGCGACTAAGGGCGTTGGCGTGGCCCATAGCTTTCCCAGAACGGTGCTCTATCTGGTAGTCATAGCCCACCAGGAAGATGGTCTGCCGCAAAACCTGTGGGGAGAGGATTTGCGTTGTCCTGCGGTCGAGCGCGAACAGGCCGCGGAGTGGGCGGTGATCCGTGGTGATGGTGAAGGGCCGGCCGTAAACGAAGTCATGGAATTTTTTGACCCCGGCCACAATTGCAAGTCCCTCGTGGTCTATCTGGGTGTAGTTACGCTCTGCCGCAGATAGAGTGCGCGAGTAATACGCGTCCGGGACCCCCCGCCCATCTGGTAGGCCATGCGCCAGCACAGCCCCGATGCCATAGGGCAAAGTGTCACATGCCAACACCACCGGGAGCGACTCGTTGAAGTGGGCCAGGACCGCGTTGGAAATTAAAAGTCCCTTGACGTTCCGAAACGTGGCAGCCTGGCGAGGCCCCCACACCCAAGGGGCCTGCTTGTCCAACAAGTGATGGAGGGGTTCCGCCATTGCCGCCTTGTGGGGAAGAAAGGCGTGGTAAAAGTTCAGGATTCCTAAGAAGGCCTGCAGTTCTACCTTGGACTTCGGTGGCGGTGCCTCCACGATTGCCTTCACTTTCTCGTGGGTCGGGTGGAGGCCCTCCGCATCCACCATGAACCCCAGGAAATCCACAGACGGCACTCCCAGTTTTCCAGTTTGACTTTAAGTCTGGCGTCCCTGAAACGGCTGAGCACAGCGCGGAGACGGTCTGCGAAGTCAGCCGGCGTGGTGGCGGCGATCATCACATCATCAAAGAATGGGGTGACGCCCGGGATTCCTTTAAGAAGGGAGTCCATTAGTTGCTGGAATAGCCCTGGTACCACGCTCACCCCGAATTGCAGCCTCTTCACCCTGAATGCCCCCTGGTGGGTCACAATAGTTTGCGCCTCCGTGGTTGCCTCATCCACCGGTAGCTGCTGGTAAGCTTGGGCAAGATCCAGTTTTCTGAAGATCTTTGCCCCTCCCAAGGTGGCCAGTACATGGCTAACCACAGGGACTGGATATGCGTGGTCCTGTAGCACCTTATTCAACGTGCATTTATAGTCCACGCAGATGCGGACTTTCCCATTTGGTTTGTTTACTACGACTATTGGGGTCTCCCACGCCGCGTGGGAGACTGGTTCCAGGACACCTTGAGCTACAAGGTGATCTAGTTCCGCGTCGATTTTCCACTTGACTGACAACGGAACCGTCCTGGCGCGCATTCTGATGGGGGCCACCTTTGGGTCGAGATGCAGGGACACTGGGGGGCCCGTATACCGGCCTAGGGAATCATCAAAAACCGTTGGAAACTCCTGGCAAATCCCTTTGAAGTCCTGGGTAGTACACATCTGGACTCCCTCGACCGTGATTCCCAGGGGCTCGAACCATTCCCATCCCAGCAAGCTGACCAGGTCCCCTTCGACTACGATTAAGTCCAATTTCCTCTTAAATTTCTTGTATTGCACCCGGAAGGTTCCGACCCCCTTTATCGGCGCCTGATTCCGCTGAAAGTCCATGAGCGCCAGCTGGGCTGCGCGCAAGCGGGGTCCCCCCTTTGGGCATAGGCGTTTCAGGGTGGCTTCCAAGATTATTGAGACTGCGGAGCCCGAGTCTATTTCCATAAGGCATGGGGACCCCTCGATGTTTACAGCGGCTAAGAGTTTTGGGGTGGGTGATTTGCCGGGAAGTAGCAGTACCTTTTCTGCTGTGTGCGTGAGGTGGTAGAGGTCCTCTGCGCCGGCGGCGTCCTTGAAGTGTGCTTCCGCTCTCTGACGCGGTGGCTGGGACCGGATCGTTGCTTTGGAGCGGCATGCCCTTGCGATGTGGCCTGTGCGCCCACAGGACCGGCACGCGATGTTTTGGAACCTGCAGGTCTTCCGATTGTGCTGGTCCCCACAGCTGGCGCACACGGGAGTGCCGGGATGCTGGTGGGCGGCGCTCGCGTTCGCAGCTGGGGTGCGGTGCGGTGCTTGAGGGCGATGTCGGGGCCCAACATAGGCTCGGTGGACGTCCTGTTCCTCTGGCTCCTCTGGCTCGACCTGCAGGGCCGCAGCTGGGGCGGTGTGCGATCGTTCCTAGGCGATGGCAGTGGATAAGGCTACGGCGAGGGTGACAGTCTCCTTTTCCATGAT